ATGCATTTCAGCAGTGCCTCTTCTGCATTCCCACCGGCCCTTCCTGGAGCAGGGTTTGCCAAAAGCCATGTGGAGCTGGCCCAAAAGGGTCCAACGGGGTGTCCAGCTGCCACATGCAGCGCAGGTTGGCTATGAAACGGCCCAACACAAAATCGTAAATGTACTTAAAACATTGTGCGATTGTGTGTGTGTGTGTGTGTGTGTGTGTGTGTGTGTGTGTGTGTGTGTGAGATTACGTGTCACAATATATTTAACGTGTGGCCCAGGACAACTCTTCCTCTTCCAGTGTGGTGCAGAGATGCCAGAAGGTTGGACGCCCCTGGATGCCTTAGAGTCTTGCGCATCCTCAGGGCCAGGCTCCCCTCGCTGGGCAGGGCGGGGGCTGCCCCCTGGCCCTCTCCCCCCTCACAGCCCTGTTGCTCAACCTGGGGCCAGCCCTCAGGATTGCACAGAGGATGCCATTACCCCTACGTCTTACATTCTGGAGATGGACCAAAGCATGTTGGGTCATCTCTTACTCTATTGACTCCCAGGGAAAAAAGCCAGAGAGAGCTGCATTTGATGCCCACTTCTTGCTTCACTTTAATGAACAGGGCTGAGAAATAGCTGGGAAAAGTGAAAATCCAAACTAATATCTGGAGGTTTTGTTTTTAGCTGGCGGGGGCGAGGGTCTGGCTCTATCTTACATTTCCCAAACTTTCCTGATAAGAATCACCCGGGTTGCTTATTAAATACACACATTATTGGAGCTAGGTATCTGTTTTTTCACCAAGCGTTCCAAGCCATTCCTGTCTTCAGGCAAGTTTGGGAAACAGCTTATCTACTGTACCAGAAATAGCCTGTGAAGAGGAATGCTTTCTTAAAGGTTTAGTTTTGCGTATAACATATGAATAAGTTTTCCTTGTTTGAAAATGTGTTAACATTACAAACATGTCTCCTTTGATTTCCTGTGACCACCCCAATCCCAGGCCCGTCCCTCCACCCAGAGGAGGTGTCAGTGTGAAGTATATATCTCCCTAGACCTTTCCTTTACATTAGAGATGCAGGTTTCTGTTTTATTTTTCCTAAATAAATGTCAGGTTATATCTATCATTCTACAACCTGCTTTCCTTTTTTTGCAAGCTGTGCCATGGGGAACTATGTTTATGCAGAATGGGCAACTGCTTTTCTTTTTTTAACCTGCTGCATAATATTCCATAGCATGGAGTTGGCATGACTTAGCAATTCCCCCATGGGTGGATAGAGCAGGTGCTTGCAGTTTCTCATTATTATTTGCTCCAGTGAGCACCTTCGCCCGTGTCTCCTTATGGACATTTGGGAGTAAATACTGAGAAGCAAAGTTGCTGGGTTAATCCCTGTACATCTCTGGCTTTTAATAGGTTCTGCCAAAATTTATCTTTCAAAGTGTCTCTACCAATTTACCTTTCTACCAAGAGCACGTGGCGAGAACCCAGCTCTCCACCCAGGTGCAGCTGTCTTGCAAAAGCCTCTGGATGTGAGGCCAAGTGGCAACACCCACTTTCCCCTAGCACTTCCCTTTGGGGATGAACAGGAAGACTGTTTCCTATCGCAAAGCTCTGTCTCCAAGATAAAAACACCCTGGCCGCAGACTGATGGACGGCAGCGAGCAGTGTGCGCAGAACCAAGAGGGGGCCTGTGGAGCTGACTCACAGGGTCCTGTCAGGGAGGTGGCGCGCAGGGCGGGATCACCGAACCCTTGGGGCTGCCAAGGGCCACATACGAAACAAAGGGATTGTGGAGCAGGTCTCAAGGACCCTCAGTTTTGCTGCTTTGTGAGCCTGTGAAAGTCCTTTAAGGGCATTGGGTTGATCTGGGGTCTCTAGTTTTGTTTGAAAGCAAGAAAAGGCTTGCCTGGGGTTCAGCCACAACCTTTGTCTTTCTGCTGCCCCTTAGCTCCATAGTGAAGTGGTGAGACCAGTAGCCAGCGCTCCCCTCTCAGCTCTGCACCTGCCCCGTGGGGCCACAAGCAGGCCACACGAGGGGTCAGTGCCCTGTCAGGTCTTTGCCAATCCGAGATCAAAATCCAGGGAAGCCTCTCACAGGCCCAGGTGGTCTATCTGCTCTTCAGGGAAGTCTCCACGTGGCTCCCTTTTAGTTGAATTGTCCAATTAGATTTGAGGGACTTGTCCGCAAGCTGGGGCAAAAGCAACCCCAGCAGGAATCCAAACCCACATCTGGGGAAACATATTTTCTTTCTTTTCTTGTAACTGAGAAAATCGGCGGCCTTCACTCAAGCCCCTTACGGCGCCCTCCTGACTTACGGAGAGCCCTGGGCAGCATGGACAGTGGCCACGCTGCCCAGTGCATGTGGCCGGGGCCTGTGGCACAGCACACCCCCCTCTGGCTACCTGCCCACTCAGCTCTCTCCCAACACCTGGTTAAATTTTTACTCCCCAAAACCAGGACATGATTTTGCAAAAGGTCAGGCAGCTTGGTGAGTGTTTGCAGAGTTTCAGGTTGCTCAAACCTCCAGTCCCCTCCCCTCCACCCACCTCACTTTGAAGTTTGAAAGCAAATTGATTAAATATACATTTTAGGAACCTTCTGATTTGCTTCTTAGACTAACAGAATTTCTAAACTTTTTTTTTTTAAACGGAAGGATTTTCAACTGTCAGCAGGTATAACTGGAACCATATGTCAGCAGAGACCAGGCGCTTTTCCTGGTCTTAGGTTTGTAAATTCTTATTGAAACGGAAGTAAGCTGGGCAGGCAGCTGGGGGCCCATGACAGCCCAAGCTCAGATCTCATTTTAATTAGAAAGTACAGATAGTGCCTGCTGAACCAAAGGCCTCCCAGAGCTTCTGTCCCAGGGCGAACAAAGATTTGGTTTATATCCTGCAAGCCTCCGTGTTTGCAAATTACAGAGCACTTCCGTGTAGCCCAGCTCCCTCTCCTGTCTTCTTCCTCCCCTGCTAATCCCCCCAATGATTTAGTTTTCTCCAGGAAATGTTTGCTCCCTTCCTCCTTACGGAATAGATGGAGGATGTTCATGTTGAAAAAAGAAAGGAAGGCTGGGGCAGGAGACATAAGATTAGATGTCAGCCACAGCAGGTTCATCATTTTCTCCATTTGGACTCTGGTCTCTTGAACTCTTAAGACGCCAAACGCTACGCCAGATCAGCATCTGAGCTGTTCTGTTTGACAGTGGTTCACGTGTATAATTTTCTCCCTGCTGTGTTCTGCAAATGGTAGAATAGAAATATCAAATGAAAGACGTTGCCTGGCCCAGCTCTCCCCCACCCCCCTGTCTTTCCCTTGCCTGGTGTCATTTGAGCTCAGTGAGTCTCAGGAAAGGCCGTGGTTACAATGTCAGCATCTGGAAGGTCCCCCACTGGGACTCAGAGCCTGACCCACTGTGGAGTGGCAGCGGGCAGGCCTGCAAGCTGAGGGGGCAGGCAGAGTGGGGCGCATGCTCAGATGGTGGGCGTCCCAGCCTTGGGTCAGCTTGACCGCTGTGTGCTACGCCTCCCATTGGCCCTCTCCACATACTAGTGACAGGGCTGCTGCTCGCTGTCCCTCTTGGGGCATCACATTCTTGGCAGCTGGAGGTCACTAGTTCACCCTGCCAGGGCTGCTGCCACAAGCTGCCATTCACTGGACAGACAAAGGGAGATTTTCCCTTCCCCTGGCTTTACAGGCCCCTCAAATGCCTTACATTCCAGGAGCTGGGAGCGAGAGGAGTCTCCTGTGGTTTCTAATTAAACCCACAATTTAAATAACAATTCATGTCACCCCAAGGGCGGAGAGAAATGCCATCCTAACCCCCCCCCCCCCCCCCGCCCCTGCCCAAGAGGGGCAGCTGGGTGGCCCTGGCTGGGAGGCTGAGGACCTGCCCTTTGCCAGATGTGTGACCGAAAGACAGATAATGACAGAAATCACTGTGAGTTTGTGGCGGCGCTAGAATGTGTTGAAAGGGAACAAGTCTGGTGGGCTCCTGTCCTTTCCCCTCCGATAAGTGTGCCCCTCAGGAAGATCAGGAAGAAAGAAATGGGAGAGAAAGTTGTCATATTTACACTTAGCCTCCAACTGAGAATTTTTACCCTTCTCCAGGGAAAATGTGGAACTTGGTCTCTGAAGTGTTCAAAGCCTAGAGTTTCACATTCTCATGGGACTCCCTGCTGCCCCCACTATCTACCCCCAGGTGACTCTGTCCATTTGATGCGAAACTTTGCTCTTCTCTGGAATACAGATAAGTGAGGGGCCAGGAAGGGCCCTGGAGCAGAGGATCTGGCCACGGGTCCTGGTGGAGCCCCTCCCTCCTCTGGCCCTCAGCTTCCCTGTCTATTACTACGGAAAGGTCTTCCGATTTGTTGCTTCCTAGGCCCTTTCTGGCACTGGTACTCTATCCATCCATCCCTGAGCTGCTTTTGTGTTTTCATCAGGCCCCTCTGGGGCCACGGTCTTCTTTGCAGTATGTTGATCTCACCAAATTGTTGTCTGATTACCCAGGGCGTGATTGTGTTCCAGATTTGGGGGAAATGGAACGCTCAACGTTAATTATCTCTAGACAAGCTCTTCTTGCCTCAGCCAGCACCAGGAGCTTGTCAGCATTTCCAGGCTTTCTGCAATTTCCTTTCCAACTCTCTTCCATTTCCATTCCATTAAATTGAGCAATTCACGTTCCCAAAGACACCCTCCAGGTTCTCACCTCTGTACCCCTCTACCCAGATGCCCTTCTGTTCTCACTTCACAGTGCCCAGAGCAGGCCACACTGCATGTAAAGGCTCAGAGGTTCCCCTCTTTTATGGAGCACTGCCGGTGGTGGTTGGGGGTGGGGGGGCCCCTTTGCTGTCCTTGCAAAAACTGGAGCTTCCTGAAGGCGGGCACCAGTTCTGGCTCCAGCACGCCCACCCCCCTACCTCCCCACCCCTGCCTCCTTGCTGGTGCGGCGCAGGCTCAGTTTGTGTGTGTTGGAGTGAAGCCTGGCTGTGAAGCCGAGAGCCAGAGGTGGACTCACCCTTCCATCTTCCTCCCTGCAGGTGATTATTGCTGATGACTACTCGGATCCCTTTGATGCCAAGAATGATCTCAAGAGCAAAGCGGGAAAGGGGGAGAGTGCTGGCTACATGGAGCCCTACGAGGCCCAGAGGATCATGACAGGTAAGCCAACCAGTTGGCACAGGGACTTGCAACTCCACAGGGAGGTAGGGAGCCCACTCCTGGACACCCAAGGGTCGTCCCCAGCCCGTCTCAGCAGGGGGAGGTTTGTGCTTTCAAGAAGGCTGTGCCATGTTGAACCTTCACCACAGTTGACCATTTCACGGTTCACCTCCATCATAAGGAACCTGGCAGGATGCAGTGAAAGTGCAGACACCAGGGTACCAGGTACAGTTAACCAAGATAGCGACAGAGAAGTAACCGGGGAGAACAGAGGGAAAGCTCTGTCGGGAGATTCTGACTGAAGGAAGATACAGCATTTGAGATAGGAGACTTGGAGCTTCCTAGCCGGCTGGATCACCTTCTTTCATTACCTAGCAGAAGGTGGCAAACTAGATTGTTGCAGACAAAATCACCTCTGTCCAAATATGAGGAAACCTTTGTTTTGGGGATGGAGGTAGCCTAAAGAGTCCTTATTCTCTACCTGTGGCTATTTTTGTATTGGCCTCTAATGACAAAACCTGTCAAAGCAGTTGCGTAGATCCCAGAGGAACATGGCCAGGTGGAGTAATGCCTGGAGCATCTTCCTGGGATAATGCCTAGAGCATCTTTAGAGAATGAGCAAGGTTATAAGCCATCACAGGCAGACTGGTGGGGAGATCTCCAGCAGGGGAGAAGCCACCCCCCCCCCCACCATGGGCCATCCTGGCCCAGGGGGGCGGTCCAGAGACAGAAGAGCACCTGTGTGGATCGGTGCCCCTGGGCCCACACCAGGGTGGCCAGGAGCAGGTGGGAGCCAGCCCTGATTTCGAGGCCTAGCGAACTGGTGCCCTCACTGCCTAGGATTTAGGCTACAGATGCCTCTTTCCGTGGCCCTCCATCATTTGTCTGTTTCGCGTTCATGCTGTCTTTGAACACTGTCTCTTTATTCCTTCTGAATTAGAAGAAGGAAGGAGCAGGAAGCGACACTGACTTAGTGCATGCTGGGCCTGTGCAGAATAGAAGCGCATGGGGCTGTGGCGACCACATAGGACCTGGGTGCGAGTCCAGACCCTGCTTCCAGGACTCTGCTCCCTGCTCCTTCTGCTTACAGAAAGCGACTCTGGCGACTCTGGTCTCCGAAAGGCCTGGCCACCCTACCCTGTGAAGGGCCCAGGAGCTACCCGCCTAGAGGGCCGCCCCTCACACTCACTCCCACCTTCTTGATCTCTCCTGGCAAAGCGGCCTCTGGGGACGGCAAGAGGCAGAGAACTGAGTGTGCGCTGGGGCCTGCGGGAGGGGCCTCCAGCTCTTCTCCAGCAGCTCGAGCCACATGTGCCGGCGGAGTCTTCACCTCGGTTCTGCAGTAACACCCACTCCGGCCGTCCCATCCCATCACCGCCCACGTACCATCACCTCCACCAGGCTCAGTGAAACACCAGCGTGTGGCAGCACTGGGGGCCATGCCGGCTCAGGCCCGGCTGTGGGGAGCTTTGGCCCAGCTCCTCCGGCCGGCCTTCATTCAGCAGGCGTCGGCCCAGGCTTAAGGGAGTGGTGGTTGCAGGAGTGATTTGGGGACACTGGCACATTCATATATGAGGGCAGTAAAGGGTCTTCAGAGTCATCCAAACCCAACAGCCTCATTTAACAGACAGGGAAACTGAGGCTAGGGAAGGAGGTGGGGCTTGGCCAAGGACACATACTAGTAAGTTGGAGGCGGACTGCCAAGTAAGTGGCCTGTGCTTGGCAGGGCGGTCTTTGGGGTGGAGGACTGAAGGAAGCATAGTGTTTATGTTTGACGGTGGGGTATCCGGGACACAAGGAAATGGCAGGAGCCATCTGAAGCTGGCTTCCAGGCTGTGCCCTGGACCCTTGGACATACATGCTTCACCACGTCCCTGCAGAGGAGGTGCTGCCTTGTTTCACAGCTGAGGAACACTGAGGACAAGTCGCTTCCCTGGGGTCACACATGTAGAAGCGAGGGGCTCAGACCTACATCTGCAGAACATGGGAGCAGGGAGCTGTAGTCAGGAGGGGACATTGGCTGGGAGCCTTTGTGGAGGGCCTGCCGCTGCCTGGCGACTTTGGAAGGGAGCGGGGTTCCTTCTGGGTGCTGCTGTGGGCCTCAGCGTTGAGTAGCCATTTAGCTGGGTAGAATTGTCATGTGAGACGTTGGCTTTTTAATGGGTCACACCCACGGGGGCCAGGTCCGAGGCAAGGCAGCTTGAGTTCACCAGGAGCCTGTAGAGGTCTCTATGCATTCCCTCTGCAAAGAAGCATTCTTGTATTTACTGCCCTAAGCTTTTTCCTAACCCAAATTTACCCACTTTTTTTTTTTTTTTTTTTAAGGAAATAGGTGATTAAACAGGACGTTTTCTGGTTGTAACGACCTTCCTTGTTCCCTTTGACTTGGGATTCTTTGTGTGTAAAGTCATCAGTGACTGATGGCAGGGAGGGGGGCTGGGACCATAAATGCTCCAGGAGGCAGTTCACCAAGCTGACAAGGAGGAGGGGGTGGGGGACAGAGGTGGGCACTGGTGACAGCAGTGGAACAGAGGGTGGCACAGGGAGAGTTACATCCATCCTTTCAGGGTGATGTTTTTTGGGGTGCTGTAACATTAATGTGTATGTGTGTGAGTAACTTCTAGTCACAGGGCAGGCATCTCTGGTGCATAAGAACACCTCCGCAGGGCAGAGCATGCCCTCCCCACCTGAGACAGCGTGCCCAGCTGGAGTTAAGCATATCTGGGAGGGCCCCTTGCCACCTGGATGACCCCTGGGAAGCAGTAGCCTTAGCGGGGGCGGACAGTGCAAACTGGCTATCTGACTGTGGGCAGCATGTTCCGTGCCTCTCTTTTTACCTATTTATGAAATGATGGGTCAGTCAGTAATAATAGCAACAGCGGTGGCGGCAGCTGCTAAGTCCTCTTGTACTTGTTTACAACACCAGATGTGAATTCTCACTGGATCTTTACCATCACCCTTTGATATGTAGGTGCCCATTATACCAATGAAGACACTGAGTCCCAGAGAGGTTAATTAACCAGCCCAAGGCAACCAGCTGGGTAGTCAGTCATGAGGCTGACGGCTGAGGCCCCGTTTTCAGCCGTTTTCAGCACCGTGCGGGGCAGCCTCTCCAGGGCCCATTCGGCCGTGGTTTGCGCCAGTTCAGTTTTCAGATTCCCTAGCACAGCCGACATGGCCTGTGATTAACGGATGAGGTTTTGTTCTCTTCATCCTTGGCTCCTTGCAGCAGGTCGTGAGAGCTTTTCTGGGAGGTGTGCTTTTGTGAACAGAGAACTCGGCCTAGCCCCATGGGCCATGGCTGGGATGGAGGGCATGGAGGATTGTGCCTGTTTCTCCAGGGGCACCTCTCACCGCCCCCCTCTTTGTCTGCCTCAACTTCCCCCACCACAGATTCCCCTTCATGTCCCCCACAGGAGTTAGATTCTGGTTCCAAGTTTGAGGCTCAGCTCTCCACAGAACCTCACGACCCAGATGCCCGTGGATTGCCTGGTGGGCCTCACCTCTGCCCCCATCGCTTCTCTCACTCCAATAGCAGCTCTGGAGGTGCCTACTTAAAACTCAAGGGCTAGCCCTGGCCAGGTAGCTAAGTTGCTTAGAGCATCATCCTGATATGCTAAAGTTGTGGGTTCGATCCCCAGTCAGGGCACATAGAAGAAGCAACCAATGAATGCATAAATAAGTGGAACAACAAATTGATGTTTCTCTACCCCCCTTCCTCTCTCCCTTCCCTTCTCCCTCTCTCTAAAATCAATAAATAAAAAAAATAAATAAAAACCTGAGGACTCTATGGAACCCAGTTAAAAGGCTAATGACACAGTCTGAGTTTTTTTTTTTTTTAATAGATAGGGACACTGAGGCTTCCCAAAGTCGTAACCCTTTTGAGATTTTTTTTTTCACCCACTGAATAAACATGAAGCTGTCTAGTGAGACAGTAAGTTGTCTATCCTAGAGGTAACCAAGCAGAGGCAAGACAGCTGGCACTGGGAGGTGACTTAAAAGTAGTTAAATCTCAAACGGGTGGTCGACTCAAGTGACCTCTGAGGTCTTTATCACCCTTGAGCTCCAAGATATCATGGTGCACTGTGTGCCTCATCATTAGACACCTGGGACCAGCACCATGGAGGGAGCACTTGACACCAACTCTGAATGGGTAAGCGCCTGGTAAGGGCTGGCAGCTTCCGTTCCCAGGGCCAGCCTGGCTCATACTGTTCAGTCCTAGGTCCCTTTTCATCTTGCTTGGACCATCTCTCCCTGGTCTTGGTTTTTTCTGTGCTACCTGGGCCTCAGTTTCCTCGTGTGTAAACTGAAGAGGAAGAATCAGAGTACTCCTGGGTTTCCTCCCTGCCCTAGTGTCTAGGTATGTCATGTGCCCCAGGCCAAGCCTCCCGTTGAGCCAGTAGAATCAGGCCGCCTCCCTCCAAAGCCTTGCCCCACAGCCCATTCTTTCCCTCTTCACCCCCGTCTTGATCCCGGGCTCGAGGGCCCCAGATGCACGGAGACCTGCAGATGTGTGGGAAGGGTGCTGGGCTGTGAGTCAGGTCGACTTGGGTAGCAGGGTGGGTCAGGATGCTTAGCCTCTTGAGGGCCCCAGTGTCCTCATTGTAAAGTAGGGCACACAACACCGACATGGCCTCTGGTGGAGTCAGCTTGGCACGTGAGCGTGAACTCTTATTGGGGAGCAGAGGGTCTGCTGGTCCTTCACTTGGTAATCCGTGCTGTTGAATTCTCTGACCAGGCCCTGGTCACCTGAAGGCAGGTCGCCAGGACAACGTGATGGTGGAGCAGGTGGTTCTCCGGCCCTCTGCAAGGCGCTTGGTGAGCCTGGCCTGGCACCCTCGCTGCACCCTGTAGTGTTAGACACTAGACTATGCATCCTGGGCAGATGCTGCCGCTGCCCCCAGGCATTTCCCCAAAGCAGGGGACAGTCATGGATCCAGGTGGCTGGCGGCTGGTGCACAGAGGTGAGCAGGTCAATCTCAAGAACTGCAGAGGCGTCC